GCGGCCCGGTAGGAAATGTTCCACGGACCGGTACCAGTCCACGGCCCAGTGGTTGAAGACCCCTGATCTAAGGCACCAGAGGGCAGAACAAGAAATAATAGGTGGATTATAATTATAAAAAGATCCAATCTAAAAGTAAGGATAAATTTTCTGACAGCGTGCTACTAATCAATGGAATAGTTACTTCCTGGGTTGTGGTGCTCCATCACGGGAGATTTTCAAAAATAGACTGGACAACTATTTGACTGGGGTTGTATAAGGCTTCTGCCTTGAGCAGAGGGTTAGACTAAACCTCCTATGATTCTATGTTTATTTGTTTAATTGATCTGTCCCTGATCTTAAGCCCAGTTTAGCCTTGAGATTCTCTTTCATAAGGCTGCTTATTCTCTATTAACTGAGAACTGCCTGAGCAAACTTATATTTTACTGTGTCAGATTTATAACCTGCTAACTTGATTATAAATTTGAAGCCAACTGAGCCAGACAAAAAAAGTAGAGGCTAGGCATATCAGTGATTATCAGTTAAGGATTCTGAAAAGATAGCCAACTTCTCTGGTGTGAGCAATTCTGAGAGTAACATTACTCTAAGTAGAACATAAAAGGTTGGAAGGGTCCTTGAAGGACTTCTAGTCCAACCTCCTATCCATGGCAGGAGATCCTATACCCGTGATGGCGAACCTTTGGCACACGTGCCACAGGTGGCACGCAGAGCTCTTTGTGCAGGCATGCGAGTCCCAGCCAAACTTACCTGCACTGCGCATGCATACACCTCCCAGCTGATTTTTGGCCCATTTGAGGCCTTTTTCAGCCTCCCAGAGGCTCAAGGGAAGCCTCTACAGCCTCTGGAGGCCAAAAAACAGACCCATTTTGGCACTTCTGATATTTCCAGATATACCGGAAGTGACGAAACCGGCCCATTTTTTGGCCTCCAAAGGCTGCAGAGGCTTCCCTCGAGCCCCTGGGAGGCTGAAAATCAGCTGGGAGGCATGCACATGCACAGTGCAGGTAAGGAGACAGTGCGGGGGGGAATTGTGCATTGCCTTCTGGGTGCTGGCACGTGAGCGCACATTTGAGAACAATTTTCAGCACAGGAGCCCAAAAAGGTTAGCCACCACTCTCATTCCAGGCTTCTTTGGGTTTGATGGGATGGATACATATGATCATAGAAAGAATAACATAATAACATAAAAGAATAATAGAGCTGGAAGAGACACCAGAAGTTCTCAATTTCAATCTTCTATTCAAGCTGGAGACCCTTATCATTTCAGAAAAATGGCTGTCCAATCTCTTCTTAAAAACCTTATGATGGAGCATCAACAACTTTTGGAGATAACCCGTTCCACTGGTTAATTGTTCTCAATTGGAAGTTTCTGCTTAGTTCTAGGTATTTTTAAAAAACTATTAAACTACTAAATGTATTTTTAAAGGTTAATTAGCTGGCTGAATGCTGATTTATTTCAACCCCAGCTGGATTCTTTCTTTTTTCTTTTTTGCTTTCTTTATCTGCTGTTATCAATTCTGTCTGCTCTTATCAATTTCTATCTTCCATTTGGAAACATGGCATGTGACTCTGGATTTGTCTTTTATTAACATACAAAAGCTTTTTTGATCAAAATAGTTAGAAATAATCTTCTCTGTCTACTTGCTCCTTGCTTTGAACAACAACAATCAGATTACAGAGAGGAGATGGCTGACATTCAAGGAGGAAAACGAGTCTGGCTAGCAACACGAATCTTTAGCTAACATTTTTTTCTAAAAGGTTTAATGAACTTATAAAGATCATGGAAAACGTTTTGAAAAAAATAGACACTAAATACTTAAAACCCACAATAAAATTTTGTTTTCAAAGTAGCAGATTTGTTGGGGAAAAATATAAACATAAAAACAACATAGATTGTGGAAAATATTGAGAAGAAATCTAAGTTTGTTGAAATCAGTTCTTTTAAAGTCTAGGACAGTGGTCGCCAACCGGTGATCCGTGGCACACTGGTGGTCCATGAGAAAATTTTGGTGGTCTGCAGAGAAATGTCACTCCCAGAGCACCCCCCAAAGCAATTAATCCAGGCTGCGTGGCAACACAAGGCTGCACCGCCACCCACATGGCCTGCAGGAACTCTCCCTGCCCACTCACTCCTTACCTGGCAAACTTGCCTGCTAAGTTGCTATTTTTCCTTTCCCCCCCAACTATCAGCTGTTCTGCTGCGCTGGGAGATTTAGATTAGCTAGAAAACAGGAAATCATTGGATTTCTTGCTTTCTAGCTAATCTTTAGATCTTTGGCTCTGCTTTAGTTCTTTTCTCTACTTTTGGATGACAAAGTTGTTAGCTAGCCTGATGCAGAGTTTGTTTCCAAGTTGATGTAAGGGTGTTAAAGCCCTCCCTTACTACTTTGGTGTATTTCCTACGTACATTAGGTAACTGATTAGCAATAACAATAGCACTTAGACCTGTATACCATTTCACAGTGCTTTACAGCACTCTTTAAGTGATTTACAGAGTCAGCATATTGCCCTTAACAATTTGGGTCCTCATTTTATTGACTTAGGAAGGATGGAAAGCTGAGTCAACCTTGAGCTAGTGAGACTCTAACTGTCGAATTGCTGGCAGTCGGCAGTCAGCAGAAGTAGCCTAACCACTGCACTACCACAAGTAGCAAAAAGTTTATCTATTTCTTCTGCTGGGTTGGGTGGCCTATAGTGTAGTATGCACCTATGGCAATGTCATTCTTTTTTCCTTTTATATTAGCTCATAAGCATTCAAGAAAGATTTTATCTTTGACTTTATACATTTCTGTAGAGATGAAATGATGATTTTTTTAAAAATATAATGCAACTCTACCTCCTCTTTTGGTGAGTCTGTTTATATCCTCCCATCAGTGCATTCCAGCTGTGAGTTTTATCCCACCAACTTTCAGCAATGGCAACAATACCTTTCCTGTTCACCCTAATTCACCTTCTTCGTTTACCATCTGAGCACTTTATGGCTGATATGGGTATGCTTCCTACATCTCCTACTTTACACTTGAGGTTTTTTTTTTCCTTCCCAGCACTATCTTGTTTTATTGTCTTGGGATTTATGCTTCGGGATAGATCCTAGTCACCTCCTCCCCACCTCAGTTTTAATGTAAAGCTCTTTGGATAAACTATGCTAGCCATTTCCTAAATATTTTCTTCTTCGTTCTTATGAGGTGCAGCCCATCCCTTGTCAGAGGTCCTTCATGTAGTGTAATGCAGATTGTGATCTAGGAATCTGAAGTAGTCTTGGTGGCATCATCCCTTAAGCAGTGGTTTATTTTTAAAACCCTTTGTTCTCTCGTTGGATGCTGACTTTCATTGGAAGTACAGATGAAAACGCCACCTTTGCTCCTAACTCTTTAACTTTCTTGCCTAATTTCTCATAATCTCTTGATATTGACTATTTATTGGTATTATATATTGGCTATTAACTGGTCTGCCCCTGATGTCTGACAGCCTCTGATGGGTTCCAGAGTGAATTGGGGGATATCCCAGAGGTGTTGCTGCTGTTGAAGCTGTGGAGCCAGACTGCAATTTAAGGGTGGCCATGCTTTAGACAGGATTTCACCCATGTAGCCTCTCTTGACTCATCTTTTCCAACTGTGCCCATGCTTTACTGAGGAGAGCTGGCTGAGAATTCTGGGAGTGAAGTTTATAAGTCTTAAAGTTGCCAAGTTTGGGGGCCCCTGCTCTAGAGTCTAGACAATGAAAACACTCTTTAAATGAATTTTGATTTATAGACTTATTTCAGTCTGGTTTATGCAAATTTTGTGAGAAAAACCATGAGGTGATCAAAGTACTTTCTAAGGTTTTGAACAGAGATAGAGGTCCATAGCCGCCTGAGATTTCATGTATGCCAGAAGCTTTTCAATACTACCAACCACTTTATCCTTCTAAATTGGATTTCGTAGTTGGCTTTGGTCATGAAACTAGTTCTCTTTCTATACAAATTGTTTCAAATAACTTCTCCTGAATGCAACTGCTTGAACATACACAGGTCTTCTTCACTGCATTTTTGGTTTTTTGCCTGAACTGAGCAGCTGCCTATAAAGGGGATTGTAGGATTTTTTTTTTCAATTGGGGAGTATGAATTATGAATGTGCTCTCTGGGAAGCCATGCCCAATATTTTATATAGTTGTCCTTTCTAACATAAGGATTAGACTTCTTTTTCTCAATGATTTGGTTTAGCTTGAATTTTCAGATTAGATGTAATAGATTCAGCAGGCAACATTAACCCCAAAAACTTTAACCTTAGACTGTCTACTGTGACCTCACCCCTTTCCTAAGAGGTCTGTAGGGGGCGTGCATAAGCACACCAATGTGCCCACCGTCCCTGTCCTATTGTTTATTTTTCTTATATGTACCCATTTCATGTATTCATATCTATGTATATACTTATATCTATTATCTCGTGATTGACAAATCAAAATAAATAAAAAATAAATATTTTTTTAATTCCTCCATGTTATCTGTTTCTGCTTTTAGGAGCACTTCTTAGCCCATCTAAAGATGCCAAAAGATAAGAGAATGAATCTAGGTCCTGCGTTAAGTATCTTCCTTTATATATGTGCCAACAACAAATGTGTGGGGGAAAGTATACATTGTATATATTGTATGTTGCAGGCTTTAGCTGTTTTGCTGCATCAAAAATTTGTTCAACGGAAAAACAATGCGACTTACAGTTAACTACTAGTTAAGTGTGATTAAACAAAAGACTTTTATATTTTGTTCCAAGAGTATTTGCTAGCAGCTAATCCACATACGCTTATTGGAAAACGATTTCCGCTTCGCACAAGGAGGTTTGACTCCCAGATTTGCCTGCAAAACATTCCAAATTTAACGAAATGAGGTTAAGCTCATATTCCACACCAAACCCAACCATATTAAGGAAGCCTGTAATATCCTGCGTGCTCGGCTACACTTTCAGCGCCCAGGCGTGCGCGCGCCTCAGCACGCGCTCTTTGGCTACGTGGGAAAACGGCAATAGCTCTTCAGTCTCAGAAAAAGTTAGAGGCTCTTAGAATCCGCTGTGAGAACTCCCGAAGCATACATGGCCGAGGAACTATCGCTTGCGACTGCGTAAAGCAGACAGCGGGAGGCGCGGTGATGGGAGGGCTTAAGGCCCAGTTAAGGGGAGAGGGAGGGGAACGTCTGTGAGTTGGAAAGAGTCAGCTGAGCAACCAAGTAAGTGTTAGCGGGCGGCGGCGGCGGCGGCTCGGGCAAAGAATCCTGAATCCAAGGACCTTGAGGAGGAAAGCCAATAAACAACGGTAAATATACGTCGAAAAAGAACAAGAAGACTCTACCCTCAGACTCTTACTTCTCTTGTTACTCCTACCGGACTTACTAGGTTATTTGTACGTGGGTTTTTGTGTACGTGTGGACGTCAGAAGTTTCTTTTTTTGTCTCCCCTCGCTTCCAAGAAAGTTCCGGGTGCTGATGCAAGAGGATCTCCTCCTTGCTTGCCCCGGTTCTTTTTCTTTTTGCAAGCTGTTCTTAGTCCGCCCTAAACTTGATCCGATCTGCACGGTCAAAAGAGTGTGTGGAAGGAGAGGGGGCGGGGGCGCCCAGCTCGCTCGAGTTCTCCGTCGCCCAGGAGGAAAGGGAGGCAACAGAATAAAAAGAGGGGCCATTGGAGGAGAGCTCGAAACCTGGCAGGTAAGTCTTGCCTGTAAAAGTGAGGAGTTGGGTCCTGCCTCGCTTTCCGTTTCTTTGCTGTGGTTGAGGAGCGGGCTAACAACTGAGTACAAGGCGCCTTCTCGAGCGGGGATTCTGTGAGAAAGGCGGGGGTCTTTTTGCAGTAATTCCCTTACAGCGGGAACGGGGAGGCCTTCGCTTGCGATTGGGTAGCTGGGCTGCTTGAGCTGTCTTTTGGGAAGTAAATTCCCTTGCGTTTAATGAGCACGCCTTCTCCTTTCTTCCTCTCTTTTTGGCACGCGCACCGCTGGTTTAGTGGGGAGGGATTAAAAGTTTATAGAACCCATTGGAAATACCCAAAACGTGCTGTGTTTCTTAACGGGTGACACAAATCTTCGCTCATTTCACTAAAAAAAAGGAAAAAAAGAAAAAGAAAAAGAAAAAAAGCCGACAAGCTTTGGGGCTAGAAACTTTGTTTCTCAGGACTGGATCTCTGTCTTTTTCACATTGCATCATAAAACAAGGGTGGAGTTCATATTTCTCTTCCTATTCTCCTCCCCTCCTAAGTAACTAGATTTGAGGGGCTTGTCCGGTTATGCCAATCACTTGTGGTTGGTAGTGCGGTCTATTGTTTGCCCCACCCACTTTGGGGAGTCGGTCAATCCAGAGATTGGATCGGGGTGGGGGCTGGGGCTGGGAAGAGAGGATGCATCTGAAGATTTAAGAGGGAGGTGAAAGAATTGTGGAGCTAATCCAGCAACAACCTGCTAAAACAACGTCTTTGAACTGTAATCCAGAAAGATATAAATATGGGCTTTATTCTCTCTGTGATATAATTTTGATTTGCTAACTATTTACTTGTTCAAAATTGCAGAAGAGTGTTACACTTTCTATTTCTCTTTTCCCTAAATAAGAATCATAGCACCTAAACTAAAGGAACAGTTAATTCCTTTAGAACCACAGAAGGGGGGAGGGAATGGCAGAGAACATGTCTATTTAAATCCAGAGTTTTCTCAAGAATGAAAGCAAATATACCAGTCCCAGGATAATGTTGCAGGATCCAATCTGGGTCTGTTACTGGTACTAGAGGTTTTGTCTTCCAAGCTTTTGGACTGATGCAGAACCTCAGGAAACTTCTCTGAAGTTGAACATACCCTTAGCAAAGCACATTTTGCATTAGCAAAATGTTTGCAACACTGTATTGGGTTCTTTTCTGGTTTAGGGTGTCCTTAAAGTGTACCAGATACCACATAAAATTAATGCTACTTATTTATGTGTCATGAGATTTTATAAAAATAGTTATGCGTAGCAATAGTTAAGGCATTCTTGGAATACATTCTTGTCACTTGCTGACTGCTTATTATTAGGTAAAGGAAAACTCTGGTTCCCTTTTCTTTTTGTAGTAAAGCTAAAGGGGTAACAAATTATTTTCATATAATAAGAGTTATCATATCAGCAATATATTTTGTAATAGATGCAAGCCCTCCTTTATTCCCATAGGCAAACAAGGTGAACTTTGTGTGTGTGTGTGTGTGTGTGTTAATCTGAAGTGTGTCAGAGTTCTTCTGTTCTAGCTTTGATTCGTAAGCTTATTTGGAATTTTAGTCTAAATTCTACAATTTAAGATCTTGCAGATTCAACTATTAGACCACTGTTGTATGCATTTGGAATAGTTGGTCATTAATTATCCTGGCTGGAAAAAGTATGTGGTTGCCAAAAATAAATTAAAGCTAGTAGCATTCTTTCTAATATCAACTTGATAATGGCTTGGTAAGATCACACTTGAAGTATTGTATCATGTTTTGGTTGCCACAATATAAAAAAGATATTGAGAACTCTGGAAAGAATGAAGAGAAAAGCAAAAAAGATAATTAGGGGCTTGGAAGCCAAGACTTATGAAGAAGGGCCGCAGGAACTGCTCTAGTGAAAATAAGGATTGGGGTGACATGATAGCTATGAAGAGATGCCACAAAGATGTCAACCTATTCTCCAACGCAACCGAAAGCAGGACAAGAAACGATGGAAGATAATCAAGGAGAGAAGCAACTTAGAACCATGGAAAAACTTCCCGACATTGAGAACAATTAAGCAGTGGTATAGCTTGTATCCAGAAGTTGTGGGTGTTTCATCACTGGAGGTTTTGAAGAAGACATTGGACAGCCATTTGGCTGAAATGATATGGGATCTCCGGCTTGAATAGAGGATTGAAATGGAGGACGTCTGGCGTCCCTTCCAACTTTATTATTCTGTTTGGTTGTTCTGTTATTCTTTCTATGATTATGTGTATCTATCCCATCAAGCTAAAAGAAAGTCCAGAATGGTATAGTATCTCCTGCCATGGGTAGGGGGTTAGACTAGAAAACCTCCAAGGTAAACTAACAGGTTTCATATATATAAGAATTGGTCATAAGTAACTTTTTTCAAAATCATAGATATGTAGTTGTCGACTTACAACAATTCATTTAACGGCCATTCAGGTTACAACAACAATGAAAAAAGTGATTTATGATCATTTTTCACACTTATGACTATTGCGGAATCCCAATGGTCGGTCACATGATCAAAAATTCGGATGCTTGGCAACTGATTCATATCTATGATGGTTGCAGTGTCCTGCAGTCATATGATAATCTTTTGTTCTGACAAAGTCAATGAGGAAGCCAGATTTACTTAACAGCCATGTTACTAATTTAGTAACTGCAGTGATTCACTTTACAAATGGAACAAGAAAAGTCATAAAAAAGGACAACCCTCACTTAACAAATTTTTCACTTAGCAACATAAATTCGGGGCTCAATTGTGGTCATTAATAGAGGACTACCAGTATATACATATATGTGTATGTGCGTGTGAGTGTGTGTGTGTGAGTGTGTGTGTGTGTTTTCTTAAGTTTTTGCGGGTACTTACTTCTGGAAAGCCTGATGATGGCAGATGAGATTCTGCCGAAACGTTGCTACAACTTTAAAAGCACAACTACAATGACGTGGGAAAATACCCGAACAAAGCTGAATGCCATATATATATATATATATATATATATATATATATATATACCCCCCCACACACATACGTACGTACATACATACACACATGCACATATATATACACACTCATATATACATACCCATATCGTGTTTCTCATAAAATAACGCCGTGTCTTATTTTTTTTTGAGCCCTGAAAAAACAGCTAGGATGTCTTTTCGGGGGTGACTTAATTTCCTTCCCCACATGCACCCCAACCTAGACGCCCCATGCACACTCACCTCTCCACAAGGCTGCTTCTATCGGCCGATGGGAGCTCCCCTAAGGCAGAGTCACCAGCCGCTTCTATTGGCAGGTAGAAGTGGCGTCGTGAAGAGGTGAGTGCTCATGGGGCACTCTAGGTGGGGGTGTGCGTGGGGGAGGAAATCTATTGGCTGGTAGAAGTGCCCTCACAGAGAGCACACACATGCACTCCCCTCTCCATGAAGCCGTTTCTATCGGCCGATGGAAGCTCCTCAAAGGCAGAATCACCAGCCGCTTCTATCAGCTAGTAGAAGCGGCCTCAGGGCGAGCACCCATGCGCAGTCCCCTTGCCATGAAGCTGTTTCTATCAGCCAATGGAAGCTTCCCGAAGGCAGTCACCAGCCGCTTCAGGGCGAGGCATTGCTGCCCGTGGAGTGTTCCTGACAGGACCTCCCCACGTGCACTCCCCTCGCCATGAAGCTGTTTCTATTGGCTGATAGCTCCCCAAAGGCAGAGTCACCAGCTGCTTCTATCGGCTGGTAGAAGCAGCCTCAGGGCAAGCACCCCTTGCACAGTCCCCTTGCCACGAAGCCACTTCTACTGGCCAATAGAAGCAGCTGGTGACACTGTCTTTGGGGAGCTTCCATCGACCAATAGAAATGGCTTCGTGGTGAGGGGAGTGCGCATGGGCGCTCACCCCGAGGCCGCTTTTACTGGTTGGTAGAAGTGACTTCAGGGAGCTTCCATCGGCCGATGTTCTATCGGTAGTAGATTGGGGTATTCTAGCCTAGGCTACCTGCAGGGTGTTCCTAAAGACAAGTTTTCTCCCTCCCCTTCCCCCCCATATCTCTTCACCTCATGTAGTTTTAACGAACGATGTGAGAAATGGTGGGGAAATGCATGGATTAAATAGGACTTAAATTGGGGGGGTTTAATTTCACCTCAGGACTAGAAATCATGCTGGGCCTTCCTATTGGTGGAGGCCGTATTGTTGGAGAAACATGGTATATATACACACACACACACTCACGCACACGCACACATATATATAGACACATATGCACACACATACACACATGCATACAGCTAGGTTTCCCTGAAAATAAGACTGGGCCTTATTTTCTCTTGGAGCCCACAATAAGCATTAAGGCTTATTTTTAGGGAGTGTCTTATTTTTTTTCCAGGTATGAGAGGCCCGCTTCTGCTTCCCGTGGCAGGGCAGAAAGCCACGTGATGAGCCAGCACTGTCGCTGCGAGGTGGGGGATTGGAGTTGCCCCATGCACCCACACCACAGTCATATCACCCACGCATTGACACCTCCGTCACCTGGTACAGTGCCTGTGGCAGCCCCATCCAGTAGAACCCGCTGTGGCTGCCAGCCCACTTCTTTTGCTTGCTCATGATGGTAATGGATCAGGAGACTGAGTGACGCACTGGTGCTGCAGCCATGAGGCAGGGGTGGTGCACCAACTTACCTCAGAACTGCTGCAGGCAGGCCATCCCATGCCCAACATCTGCCTCACCTTGTGGATGTGGCACCAGGATGCTGCTTGGCCTCCTGCTCCATTGGGGCTATAAGCAAGCAGAAGTAGGCTGGTGGCTAGGTGGGCTATTGCTACACATGGCTGATTGTGGTGCTGCTGTGAGGCAGGTGTTGGGGCATACATGGTCTGGCTGCGGGGACCCTCAGGTAAGCTGGTGCAGGGTGCATGGGTCAGCTCCATCCCACCTCGCCTCATGGCTCCGACACCACAAGGAACCAGATGGAATGCCAGGTACAGGTTCTTAAGTAGGG